ATGATTGGGCGTCTATACAAGCAGTTGAAAGCTTCAATTTTGGCGAGGGGAAATTCTATAAATTGGTCAGATGAACTTCCTGTGGTCTTATTGGGTTTATGGTCTTCATTCAAGGAAGATATTAAATCTACTGCAGCAGAATTAGTTTATGGTCAAAATTTACGTTTACCAAGTGAACTCGTAGTTCAATCTGAAAATAATTTTAATGTTTATGAGTTTCTTACAAAAATTAAACATAATTTTCAAAGTTTTCATTCAGGTATATCTCATCACCAAAATTCAAGTAAAATTTATATACCGAAAGATTTGCGATCATGCAAACAAGTTTTTGTACGTGTCGACAGTAATAAGCCGGGATTGAAACCTCCATATGAAGGACCATATAAAGTCCTTGAAAAACATCCAAAATATTTCAAAATACAGATACACAACACGCACAGGAATATATCAGTTGACAGAGTTAAACCCGCATTTATAGAAAATAATTTTAACAATATTCAGACAAAACCAAAAGAGCGAGTTACATTTTGTTTGATTTAAATAATTTCAATGTTTTTATTTTTAGCGAAGGGGGAGCATATGTAGTGCTTATAACTTGCTGAGTTTATACTTCTTTAAATAAAATAATAATTGTTTAATTTGTTTGTAAAATCAAAATGTAAAGAAAATGAAATTCATTCAGAAAAATTTTCTTAGAGAATAAACATATCTCTTTTAAAATAAAATTAAATTGCATATATATAATATCCTTACTATTTATAAAATATAACCTCTTCAGTAACCCTTTAAAAAACCAAAGAACGTCTATAGGTCAATCCCTTTCATTTGACACCTCATTTTGAAACTCGAGAGAATGGTATAAATCGGATGCTCTGCAAGAAAAAAAATTATTTGTAACAGGTTGCAACCCTTTTCAAAAAAATAAGAAGTTCTTCCTCTAATACAACAAACGGTGCAGGATTTATAATTTTAGAAAAGGTGGCAACCCTTTCCAAAAATGTAATACCCTGTTGTACATTTAGAGGCCAAGCCATTTAATTTGGAACCTCAGTTTTGAAAATCGAATAATCGGTGCAGATCTGCTGCCGTTAACAAAAATTGCTTTCATGTATTGTATGCTTTTTTAGAATTTGGATTGGTAATAGCAAAAATATGGTTCATAATGCTCTAAAAACAATCTGTGTGAAAGATGACAATTATTGATCAATATCTTAGTCCATATCAAGTCCATCAAAGTTAATGTGCTCAAAAAATAAAAATTAATAAATACAATTAATTAATACATTTTTTTACTAAAATTGCAAGTATTTTCGAAAGTATTAATCCTACATAATTTAGTATATAGACTTTTTTTTTTGCTGAGAATCGAGCCTAAGATATTGACCAAAAATTGTCATCTTTCACACAGATTGTTTTTAGAGCATTATGAACCATATTTTTGCTACTACCATTCAAAGTTCTAAAAAAGCGGATTTTCGGCCCACGCTAATGTATACATAGTATTACATATATACATACATACATATGTATATAGATTTGATCTAACACTGGTATTAGGAGGTTATTAGAATCCAGATAGGAGCTTTAAACCTATTAAATTCGAGTATACACAACTCTGGAACCTTGATTTGTAACTCTGACTTTTATTTTTGCCTGAAAAAATAAAAGGCAACAATTACCGATTATTTTCTGCGCAAAAAAATAAAAGGCAAATTTTAACTTTTATTTTTGCCTTAAAAAAATAAAAAGCAGAATTAACCGGTATTATTTGCTCAAAATAATAAAAGACAAAAAATAACTTAAATTTTTTGCTTTTTATTACAAAATGCTTAACCGGTACGGTCTCTGTAACAAACCCGTTTTCATGTGACCCGAAAAGTAAACCTACTGAGATGACAAATTAAGCTTTTGAAAACCTTCTAGACAACAGTGAAGACAGCACCAAGTCATATTAAACAAGGTAGAAGTGATTTTGACATTTCTCTCTTTTGAACACCGACTATAATGTCAAATGATGAATAACTATTAACCCTTTTCAAGTTGGCATTTTCTAATTTTCATTAACAATTCAATTGTGTGCTTTGAGATAGTTTTAAATTGTGTGAATTTTTTTGTTTTTCGACCACATGCATTTTTAGATACATTCATATACAAAAGTGAAAAAGGAGCAGGAACTACGACCGTTGCATTGTATGGAAAGTGGTGCGATACTTTAAGGCGCCTAGTTGCGAAGTTAGAAGACTTGGTTGTCTGAAGCACACGGACCTGGATTTACACTGATATACATACGTATGTAGAAGAAAACTTTAAATCGTTCTTTTATGTGGGGATATTTCTTAGAAGTAAATATTTAAATAAGAAACTAAACGCACAAAAACATTAGGCGAATAGAAACAAAAAATGTTGAAAACAGTTTCATAAAACATTTATTTCATTTAATGACGTGGTTTCCTTTATGAGGTATTCTTTTCTGGCCATATGTATATGTGCATATAAGATGCGAATGCAGCTAAAATTCTTTGAAGGTAATATTGAAGTAATCCTTAAAATTAGTATACGTGCATACATATGTATGTATTTATGCTGATGCATTTCCATGGAGAAATTATAAGTAGGTGAAGTAATAAAAAAGCTTTCTCGCTTTATTTTCCTGACATGCGGCTATCTTATACAAATTTAGGCAAATTTTCAAATAAGATAGGGTCAAATCTTTCATCTCGCTCTCATTACTACACCTGGTATAATTTCATCATGATGAGTTTCACTTAATGCTAATTTGTAGCAAACATAGCACACGCACCTCATTATTTGACATTATAACTAGCTACGAGAGAGTTCGAGCTAGTTGTCACTTCTACCTTATTAAATATGCCTTGGACAGCACTTTGATTATGAGATACTACGAAGAGAGCTAAGAGAGTTCTGGATGCAAGTGTATACAGAAAACACTGCTGTTGGCAAGATTGCATTAAAAATACTAGTGACTTTTACTTTTACAGTTCTATGTGAGACTGCATTTTCGACAAATGCTTACATAAAGAAGTAATTTTTAAGCAAAACAATAAACCGACTTCCATTCTCATATACAAATTTAAGATTATCTTTGATTTCTTCATGATCCGATGATCGGATTTAAACCAAATTAATATGGGACCACCAGTAAGGTAACGTCTATCCTTAAAAGAAAAAAGAATGATAGAAATCGGTTAACGTGGTCCAAAATTATGCGGTAACTTACATAAAAAAAAAAACATATTCCGACGAATTGATAACCTTCTCCTTTTTATGAAGTCGGTTAAAAATAAACACACCAGCAAGCTTTCAGCGTCAAATGATTTCAAGACAAAATTGTCAAAGCTCCCAATAAACTTAAAGGTAATAATGAAATCATCAAAACAATTTCAGTCCTCACATTAAAGCTAAAGGAGCATAAGGTTTGCATTGCGTTTTCTTGTTTTCGTAGACATTTGAATAGTAGGGGTGCCGCGAATATTTTTTAGCACAACTAGGGTGCCGCGGTGAAAAAACTTTGGGAAGCCCTGAGGTAGCTAACATGGCGATAAGAAGAAGCGAAACTACCTTCTAAAAATGATTGTATCATGAAGCCAACTAAAAGTAAAAGAATCAGCATTGAAATGCGTCAAAATGAAAATAAGGGCGCACGAATTTCGATGTGAAGCAAAACTCTCTGGGAAGACATTACCTGTAATAATTGTACCAAGGTGTGGGGGATATTTTAAAATTTTGTGAAGAGAGGAGATATTCATTAGGCCAAAAAAATGTTTGCTGATTGTATCTTCAACATGAGAAACTCCAAATAAGAAGGCTACCATGAGAATGTTGTAAAAGTAAAGAAGTTCTCAAAGATGAGAGGGAAATGGAGCCCTTCAAAGGTACGCTTTGCAATTCAGCTCGTTCCGGATGCTATTTACTGCATTGTGCTTAGCCGAAATCCGAGTCTGAAAATAAACCGTTGAATACCACTCGTGCTTCAAATGTTGTCGGATATTTTCATCATGTTTCCTTGCCTAGGATTGTTTGTTATAAATTTTGCGGGGTAAAAATCCCGAGTACAAAGTACAAAGTTATGGAAAAATATTCTACAATTGTGTAATGTTACAACTGAGTATTTATGTGCTCACTCACAAAAGATCGAAAAATATATGCCAAATAAAGATGCTGTTTCAGGGCTAATAAATCTAGAATCATTGAAAAAGGTTTTAAAATCCTCTAGCTTTTGTGGAAAAAATTGGCAACGTTTTTTTTTTTGTCCCGTATTCGGCTACCATAAATATGGTCACCGTAATTATAATGTACAGAGCTTCATTGAAATATACTGTGTTCGGCACAAAACATCATGTTGGAGTATGCCGGAACGATTACACCACTAATGTGCGGAGGGAGTAGCTCCTCTATACAAAACAAATTTCTGGTCAAATATAGCACGCGTGGACCCAAAATTCCGAGGATAGAGCAAAATTATAATTGCTAAATCTATCCACAAAGACTAACCTGACCATACTGCTGCCAACCAACGACCGCCAAGGTGGATAGATAGATATTAAAATGAGGTGTGCGATGCGATCTGGCGATCTAACAACAGAGGCGACAGAACGAAAAATGACGCCGAAACCGGTGTCTCCAAACCAAATTTGACAAGGGATGACGGAAAATCGTTCCACATTACATTACATGCCCTCTTCTCTTCACAACACTTCTCCTAAAAATTTCTGTAATCATTTGTTAACGTACATTTGTTAAATGCGGCACACTTGAGACACTTGGACTTTTTTTTGCAGCCTGATGAAACGTTTGTGTCTGTATATAAACCAAAAAAAAAGGACGACATAGTTTCAAAACTAAAATTAGGAGCGCAACCTGCACTATATTTTTAAGAGCTTTTGAAATAGTCTGGAAATATCAAAATATATGAGAATAGCTCCATACTTATCTTAATATAAACCTTAGGAAAACAGTAACTTACACGCTATACTTATAGTAGCTGCTTGACTTTTGGCAACACCCCGAGAAGACCAAGCATGACATTCACACTTGAAGGGGCCTTTTCCAAAATATTCATCAACCAGATCCCGATGTATAGTAGCTGTTACTTCCTCAACATGGACACCGCTGTGAGGATCCACATGTTTATCATGAGTTGATGGAGGCGGCTGAGAACTACCACTGCACTTGAAGTGTAGCTAAAAATATATATATATATATTTTTTTTTCAAGTTATACATGAAGTAAATAAGATATATTAGAGATATTCACCTGCAGCGCATGTGCAGCTTTGCACTTGAGTAAAGCGGGTCGGTTTTTGATGACATAAACGTTTTCGGGTTCGGTTAAAAATATTGGTAGAGCATTGCCAGATTCAGCTGTGTTTAGTTTGCCTAGTATAGTACCAGACGACCGCTCCTCATATTCGACATTTTCAAATTTTGGCAGCTCATCGTTGTTGTTAGTCGTATTTATATCTTCATTGGGCCGAATATCACTCTGCCCTTGGCTGGTCGATTCTATAACTGCATTATCTTTGTGATGTATAGGCTCCGTAGCATATGTTGGCCTTTCCTTGTCTAATGTTATATCAGAGTCTATTAAAAACTGTACATTATCAGATTCGAAGGCATTGTGAAAAGCACGCGATGATTTGGCTTTTACTTCTTGTGAACTATTTAAAGAACTGTTTTCTTGGGTTCTTAAATGATTATTGAGCTTGTCGGTTAGTGGAAAATTGTGATTACGCTGCTCAGGGATCAAGTCCGTAGTACGTTGTAGATTGGCCACAACCACAAACTTAAAAGTCAATGCGAAAGCGATTAAAATATCACATTTTCTAAGCTTTATCATTATTTTTTTTATCTAATCTTTTCTTTTAAGCACCAAAATCTTCATGTAAAGAAGTTAAGTCGAAAATCCTGCGAATGATAAAAGTAACACTTAGATTAGTACAGCTACGATCAAAAAACTTGAGCGTGCTCTAAAGATGATAGGAAATTATACAATGAATAAACCACACAGCGTTTTACGTACATATGTACATATATGAATATGTATGTACATATATGTACAAACAAATACCTATACCTAGTCACAAATAATAAATTCAAGTCATATGCAAGTCTCTTCCAGATAAGTTAATAAATGTATGCAGAAATACAAATACCGGTACCTACTTATACAATCGCTTGAGTTACTTGCATGGTCGTAGTTGCAAAATTGTACATACATACGCATATACATACATGTATATAAATATTTATATTCGTAGGATGTACGTTGTACATACATATACACATTACATACGCTGGTGGCCCGATAATTAGAAACAATTCAGCTTTCCAAGTCTTGACCATTTAATTTTTATACCCGAGCGCACTTGTGCACAAGGGTATTATAACTTTGTTCACATAACGGTTGTTTGTAACAGGCAAAACGAATCGAGATAGATATAGACAAATGTATACATAAATGATCAGGATGAAAAGAGAAATCGATTAAGCGGTGACTGTCTGTCCGTCCGTCCGTCCGTCCGTCCGTCCGTCTGTGCACACGATAACTCGAGTAAAAATTAAGATATCTTAACGAAACTTGGTACGTGTACTTCTTTCGGGCGTAGGACGGATGGTATTGAAAATGGGCAAAATCGGACAATAACCACGCCTACCTCCCATATAACGGTAATTTTCAGAAATACGAAAACTGCGATATTTTAGTATCTACTGAAGATTATTCACTCAAAATTGATATTTGCAATAACTTTTAGACGAAAAATAAGAATATTAACATTTTTTTGAAAATGGGCGTAGCCACGCCCACTTATGGTTACATGTGTATATCTTGCCAACCGCTGCACCGATTTCTTCCAAACTTGGCACAGTTATTGGCCTTGGTACAGGATACCAAATGGATTTAAAAATCGGACAATAACCACGCCCACATCCCATATAACGGTAATTTGGAGAAATACGAAATCTTCGATAAATCCGTAAATATTGAAGCTAATTTATTCAAAATTTATGCTTGCAACAATTCTTTATCAGGAAATACGCTTATCATAAAATTTTGGAAGATGGGCGTGGCACCGCCCACTTATGATCACATATATGTATCTCGGCAACCGTTCTACCAATTTGTACCAAACTCGGTATGGTTATTGTGCTTGTCACATAAAAGCAAAACGTTCAAAATTATTGAAATCGGACTAAAATCACGGCTTTTCATATAACGGTAAATTTTAGAAATGCTCGAAACGTCAATATTTCGAAATTTAAGGACTCTAATTTATTCAAAATTGATACACCCCGGCTTACCATGTAGCGGTAGCTTTCGGAAAGGTGAAAAGGCATATATGTAATACTTGCGCCGGGTATTTAATGTTCGGCCCCGCCCGAACTTAGACTTTCTTACTTGTTCATTGTTAGATTTAATTTTTTTTCCAATAAAATATAGTTCATACTATGATACAATAATTTAAAGGTAGTTTCACTTCTTCTTAGCCGCCATTGGTCCCATTTGACATAAACTTTCCTTTTAAATTTAAACTAACATAAATATCTTTGGAAAAAAAGAATAAAAGTGGTTGTTTACTTCATAAAAAGCATCATATTATAGCGAGCTTTTACGCTTTTAGGAAGGCAAATGAAATAATCGTATTACATTAGAGTACGTTTCTACGGCACGTAATTCGCTCTCTAAGTAATTCTCTAAATAATTTACGAATAACCGTTTCTACGGCGCCCATGGATCCCAAATAGGCTTGGGGAGCTTCTGAACTAAGGGCGAATGAGCCAGCTCTTTTAGTTGAACTTGTTCATTAGTTCGTTCATTAAAGTCAACTAAACTTTTCTGTGCCAACACTGCAATAAAAATGAAAATTTAATTTTAACACATTTGAGATCTCGTTTTTCGTTGTAAAGGCATAAAGACAACAGATCGGAAATCGCGCTAAAAAAAACATTGGATTTCCAATGTTTTACATAGTTTACTGCAATTTGTGTGAAAAGGTAAATATTTGAGTTGAGTTTTTGGGATTTGTTGCTTAACAAAAAACTTTCGCTTTCACATGCCGAACCGAAGCGCAATTTGGTCGCATTTCGAAGGCAAAATTGAAGAAAAGAAAATGAAATGCAGGCACTACTGCCGAGTTTTCATAAGCACTGCTGATGGCTCTCATGGAAATTTGAATCGCCATATGAAATCCAAACTAGAGTCCGACCGATTCCCAATTTTTGGCAGATGCCGATGCCGATTCATCGGCCGATGCCGAACCCTCAAAAAAACTACTTGAATATAAACTCATTCAAGAACAAATGTTTTTGATAAACTTTTATAATAACAGAAGAAAAACATAAACAAATAACTAAACAACATTACAAAACAAATAATCATTCAAGAATCTATTCACTTATTTATGTACACACATAAATTAAACTGAAAGTAGTATATCGCTTATGCATAGGTACATATCATTACAATACTTTGTCCCATAGTCTTTTTCTTATTCAAATTTTAAGTAGCTAGGACGTGCCATTAATGTTTGGAAATTGTTTTGTGGAAGGGATCTCATATGTAGCGTAAAAAAAAAAATGGAATGAAGTGCGGAAAAAGTAAAAACAATGGGCTAAGAATCGGCCAAAAACGGCCAAAAACGGCCGATGCCAAAGCCGATCCCGATTCTTTTGGCCGATACTAGCCGATGCAGATGCCGATTAATCGGTCAGACTCTAATCCAAACACCCTTTCGTGATTTTGGAGAAAGTCAAATGAATTAAGACGGTAAAATTGTGTCGTTATAGAAGACTATGGCCTTGTAGGAAAAATTAGGTTTTCACTTTGCAGATTAACTTAATCTTTTATATGTACACTGGTGGCCCGATAATTAGAAACGATTTTCGTTTTCAAGTTTTGACCACCTATTTGTACTTATTATTTTTAACATATTTTTTTAGGAAAATATAGTGCATGCTACAACGAAAATCAAATAAGTCAAAGCTTTAAACTTCGCATAAGATCTATATATTAATACGCTAACATAAATTTTGTCTCCGTTCGTTTGGCGATTCTACCGAACCGATTTCAAAACCGTTGGAAAGGCATTTTTCCGTAGATGAGCAGAGTTTTTATGGTTTCACAATTGGTTGAAAATTACGGCAGAAACCGTCGTTTAAACATTTTCGAATTGTGTATAGATGTTGCTGCAACATGTTCAATTTGACATGTTTCGCATGTTGTTTCACTTCACACTTGAAATTAAGCTTTGAAGTAAAGATAAATATGAAGATGAAGAAATAAATGATAACGATGAGGTCAAAAAAAAAGAAGGCAAAAGTGAAGATAAAGACGAAAATGGAGACAATGACAGATATATATGAATTAGGGTAACTGAAAGGGTAAGAAAATTTCTTGAATTTATAAAGTGAAACTTCTTTAGCAGCAGTTGGTTGGTTGGGAGTAAATTTTCAAGGTTTAGCGGTTTGAGAATAAAAATAAAAACAAAGATGCCTAGAGGTGCAGGCAAAAACGAAGATCAAGGTAAATTTAAACACTTTAATGTAAAGGTGACGAGGAATATGCAAAAATAAAGATACAAATGAAGAAACGGATGAGGATGAAGATCGATATTGTTATCGATATAAAACTCGATATTTTTATCGATATAATAATTGATGTTGTTATCGATAAAATAATCGATATTGTTATCGATACTGTTATTTATTAAATAACCGCTATTGTAATAGACATAATAATCAATATTGTTATCGATACATTAATGGATATTGTTATCGGTATAATAATCGATTAAATAATTGATTTTGTTATCGATTTAGTAACTGATATTGTTGCCGATATGTATAATAATCAAAACTGTTGATTGTTATATTTATCGATGAATTAATCGATTTTGCAATCGTTATATTTTTCTATATAAATATCGATATAATAATCAGAACATGGAATGTGATCACATTAAATGACATCACATCACATTATATCACATGATGTGATGAGACATCACATGATGTTATATCACATAATATGATATCACATCACACGATATCACGTGACATAACATCATATAATAAGACAACACATTATATGGCATGACATCACATGACTTGACATCACATGATATGACATGGCATTACATGACGTGGCATCACCTGATATGACATCATATGGTATGACATCATATGACATGACATCACAGGATATGACAGCACATGACATGACATCCTATCACATCACATAAAAATACCGTCACATCTTATCACGTCATCACACCTCACCTCATCTACGTGAATAGATAAAGAAAAGGATAAAAGCAGAGATATGAAAGATAAAAACAAAGATGAAGACCAAGGTAAATTTGCCGATTTCAAAACCAAAAATACCGTTGGAAAGGTAATTTTCCGTAGATGAGGAGTTTTATAGTTTCGAAATTGGTTGAAAATCGTCGTTTAAAAATTTTCATATTTGTGTATGGTTGTTTTTGCAGCCCGTTCAATTTAAGCTGTTTCGCATTTTGTTTGGCTTGGAAATGAAATCAAACTTTGAAATAAAGTTAAATATGAAGATGAGGAAACAAGTGGCAACGATGAAGACAAAAAAAGAAGGCAAAAGTGAAGATAAAGGCGAAAATGGAGATAAAGACAAATACATAGGAATTAGGGTAACTGAAGTGAAATTCTCCGATAGGAATCGAAATAAAATCAGCCATAAAAGTTACCGAAATTTATCTAATCATCGAAGTTTATAATTATCGAAATTTACCCATGCTTATTAAGTTATCGCAACGTATCGAATTATTCCAACTGATCAATGTTTACTGAGTTGCCGAAATTTATAGACACAGAAACTTAGTTCTCAAAATTTACGGATAGTTATCGAGCTATAAAAACGTGTGGGATTACCGAAA